AGCGAAGGATATCATCGGCCTGTGTGGATGATGAGTCAAATAGAGCGTGAAGAGATCAATGAACTCACTGAGCAGGAGGAGCAAGCACGGGATAGGAGTCCGTGCTCCAGGTCGCAGTGATTTCCCTGCCGTACCTGTCTTCGATGACAGCCTCAAGGCCATCAGGCGTAAGACGCCATTCAACAACGCGGGCTATCATTTCAATCTGAGTGACAGCGTTAGTTGGCAGTGAAAGAATCGAGACGAGCTGGGCGACGCACCTCAGGAAGCTTGGCTCCATAGAGCCACCAGGTCGACGTGCCGTCCTCGTCAGTGAACTGGTAAGCGTGGCGCAGGTGGCTGATAGTGAGCTTGGTGAAGGCCTGGTCGGGAGCGACAAGCTGAGACGGGCATTTAGCGAAATGTATGCATCGCATGCGCGGGAAGCTTACCAAAGCCCACGCGGAGACGAAACCCGGTGCGATAGATACGGCACCGAGCGGCGGTAGGCGAACATCATCGTCTGGCGATGTGAGCGTCTGGACGCCTGACAGAACAAGCGCACCTACCGAGCATGTTCTCCAGGGCCTCCAAGCCATGGAGAACGACGATCCTGCGCGCAATGTTAATGGCGCGACGGGGGATGTCGAACTGATCCCAGTCGACTGCAAACGACGTGAGGAGAGGTGGTACGTAGACGGAATGAAAGCGGCTTACACTTGTCGTCTGGGAATGGGAGAGTTCGAGGGGATAAGACATTGGGACGGAATCACGAGCAGTATGTGCCATAGAAAGCATTCAGCTGTGCAGTGAGAGAGGGACATAATAGACTCACCGTGGGCGTGATCCGGTAGAGCGTCCCAGAGACGATCGAAGGCTGGCAAGACCTTGGGCATTGCGAAGAGAGAGTTGTTCGTTCACGAAGAGGGGAGGGTAACTGGAATGGGGAGCCCAGAAGAGCAGACCGGGGCTATAAATGGTAACCAAACGGGGGGAACCGAGCGTATGGATCCGTGTGCGTGGAACGGAGGACAGTCCGCAGAAGGAAGGCGGCCGACGTGTGACGCAGTGTTCTACGAGGGGAAAAACAGAGTTTGAACGGGCATTCTTTTGCCGTCAAACGAGGGGGGACAGGCTGGCAGGCTGTCGAAGCGTGTGGTACCGAACCAACGGCTACCCTCAGCAATGGGTCCCGGACGATCGGTCCCAAAGTCGCGTTCCCGTTACGTGGCGTATGGTGCGGCAGACGGCCTCCACACGCCGAGAACCAAGCCGCGGGGCCCGGAGCCAAAGCCGGCGTACAGAGACAGATATCTACTTTGGAGCGAAGAGACGATACGAACGACGGAATACCAACGAGAAGACGATGCTCAATAATAGTACGCTACTCCGTGAGGTAACACGGCCTCCAGAACTTTCCCCTGAGCAACCAGCGTGTCGAATGATTCGCTGAGCAAACGTTAGCGTGAAGGCGCAGAGTATACAAGCGGCTTACTTGACAACCTCAACGAGGTTTGGAAGCCGGGTGTTGAGAAGGGGGACGGCGATGTCGCGCAGAACGCGTTGGATGCTTGCAGCTCGTTGAGATGGAAAGTTGCGCTCCCGCCACGCCATAATGAGGCGCATACATGCGTCCAAGGGGGCGACAATCTGGAAGTAGTTGACCGGTACTCGATCGAACATGCCGCGGCCGTCTTCGGATTCGCGTCGGGAGTGGACGAGCCAGTCGAAAATGAGAGCGTTACGAAGCTGAGTGGAAGGCGTCTGACACAGCCAATGTCCACGAATAACAGTGGAGGACGAACCTTGAATGTCGTTAGTTTGTGAGCCTCATACTCACTCTTCGTATCGGCCCGGTGCGACCGCAGAACATCGAGGTGTTGTGAGAGAGGCGCGGAGACAGGGAGGAAAACAATGAGAGCCAAAGGATGAATGTACGTAGCGGAGCCGTCTGCGGCGCGTTTCAGCCTACCCCTGATGGAGAGCACGTCTCCAACGCTGCGATGCGTGAGATGGGTGGCGACATTAGGAAATACAATGCCTCACCGAACACGACGATAATGGTCGACAGGCGCCCTCTCGCCCACGTCGAGAACGTCGATCGAGCGATTCGCCATATCCTCGACCGTGCCTAGAAGGCCGTCCGAGTCGACGTCCCAAGCCCTAACACGGCAGAGGAGACCGAACTAGGGAAGACCTGAGCTGTGCTGTAGCGGGAAGGTAATGCACTCACCTCTGGAATCGCCCGCCCGAGGTACGACCAGCGCAGGGCGACCTCGCCGGGGAGTATGATACCACCAGCACCTAACAGTTGGCTGATGGAAAGCTTGGGCGGGTTGCGCTAAGGGTGCAGAGATGGATGAGGTGCCAATGGCGGCAGCAAGTGGATGCCGTACAACGTGAGGCGGTTCCGCAAACCGCACAGTACGTGCGGTAGTCTTACCTGCGATGAGTCGACAGTACTAGGAGGCCCGTTGAAAGGCGTACCTGGGGATGAGGCCGATGTGGTATTGGGGGGGCAGGAGTGCTCATTGGGGCACGCTTCGCCACGGCGGTTGCGAACGGCTGAGAAACGGAGGTGGCAGGCAACGGGGGTCGGTGCAGTTGGGCGGCGCGCTTGCTCGACCCTGGCAGCGGGCACATGGAGAGCGGACGGCGGCATGTCCCAATCGAGCTGTGACACGACGGAGGATGACAGGGACCGAGGGAGGAAGGAGACGGCGACCATGCGCAGATCATTGAGAGGAAGACTGAACCCTAAGTCTGGGGCAAGGAAGCGCCACAAACCGCCATTTCCATTTCGAGCGAATCCAGACGAGAACTTTCGACGACCGGTCAGCCCGTGACAGAGAAGTCGTTTACGAGGTACAGAAGGAACGTTCTACTGTATACTCCCGGGCATCTACGAACCCCCCTGTGACTTCGGCGAGCTACTGCTGAAATGGAGGTCGGAGCGCGACGGGCGTCCAGGGGCTGCCCGGAAGATCGAATGCGGGTTGGCGAGGCGAAAGGAGACGGAGTGGTAGGTGTCGAACTGGAACAGCACTTCGCGCGTAAGCAAGCCCTGGATGGCTTTGCTGGAACAGAACGTCAGTGCGGCAGTGCTCAGGGTAAAACGGGGAGCTTACTTGATAGCGGCGGGATCGAATAGAGCCGCTCGTGTTAAGGGAGGCCCAATGTCCGCGACAATCTGGTTAAGGCGTACGGCGTGCTGGCTGCGAGAGGTCAGCCGGTGAAAGAGAGAAATATTGACGGCAATCTTGCATGCGCCGGAGGGCGGCGCGCGGTGAACAGCCCGCTGGATGTCCCGGCCGACAGAGGAGGTATGGTCGGGGACAGCTTTGTGCATGTCATCATCGAGCATTTGAAATGCTTCGATGACGTCGAGACGCTTCTGCGGAATTCCGTCAAATGGTTCTGGAGGAGGAATGCAACGATCGAACTAACCGTCTCTGCGGCGCAAGCGTTGGATATGTCAAACACGCCGGTGATATGTTCGTACGCTTGAAGGTCGGCGGTAATACGAGCGACATCGGATCTGGGGGCAAGAATGTGGACGGAGAGCATGACGACATGAAGGAAATGCTGGGCGGTGTAATGCGAAGCGTAGGGATAACCGGCGCCGGGTGGACCGAAACCGATACGCGCGGTGAGCATCACCAGATCGCCGACCCTATTCACAGTCAGCGAAGCACTACGGGCCGGACGTACGACGTACTTCGGAACTGGGTCAGTCAACGCTGGGAGGGAACTGTCGTCATCCCACATCGCACGGAAGAGACGGGTGTCGTCCACGATGACCGCGTGGATGGAGCCGTCGGCGTAAGCCCAGCGTTTGACTCTGACGACAAGAACGAACTGCAACGGACGTCACACACGTCAAAGATCAATTCAAGGCGTGGCGCGTACCTTGTCAAACAGTTCGCCATCCAGCCACCAAGTAGGCCCTTCCAACGATTCCCCGAAGATTTGAGCGCGGGACAGAGCCTCGAGAGTGACAGGTCGCAAACCATGCGACAAGACTGCCTGCGTGTGTGTCAGGGTAGGAGTACAGGATGGAAGCCAGGGAATCCTACGTCTTCAAACGGGAGAGCCTTCGCCGGCGTGATGTCCCACTCAGTGGGCGTGGTCGTGTCATCTTCCACACCCTCGTCGGCCGCTTTGGGACTCTTGCTGACAAGCCCTCCGCCGCCGGGGGACCGGGGTTGAGCAACGACGTCCGTGGCGTCTACGTAGAAGGAATGAGACTACGTCACTGCGACATAGAAGACCTACCAATTGGGGCGATCTTGTCGCGGGCGCCGCTTGCTGCGTCTTTGGAACGGGGAGACCCACCGATCGTACCGGGCCGAGGAGTTGGAGATGGATCCGGCGAGCTTGGTTTGACATCGGGGTCGCTAGCGGCCAATGCTGGCGAGGTTGGGGCGCCCGATGTCTTGCCCGAAGGATCGAACTGCTCCGCTGCTTCTAGCAGCACCGGATCGTCGCCTAAAGGAAGCAGTCAGTAGGACACAGCGCATACAACCAGCGATAGACGTACTGTAGAACTGGAAGTAATCTGGGAAGAGGGTGAAGAAGGGTCAGTGTAAGCCAACACGACTGCAGAGAACGTAAACAACCCACCATCCGAAGGCGGTTGAGAAAGAGACATGGTTTGAGGGGCACGAGGGAAGGAGAGAGGCGAAGAGGCAGTATTTATATGGAATGGGGGCGAGGAACGGATGACGGAAGCTGACGTCGTCCACGTATGGAAGGATGACGCGAAGTCCGGTAGGGCTGCAGCGTCGCGGGCTAATACCGGTCCCCACATAGTGATTGACGAGCGTGTTTACCAAACGGAATGAGCACCGGAGGAGTACCGCGCAAGTAGACTTACTATACGGAACAACATGGCTACAGTACGTATGCAACCTGTCAATGAGTAGTCAGTAAAGGACAAACAGGGATAACTGCGACGTTGTCCGCGCCCTGACGCACGCACCATAGGGCCTCGGTTAGACCCAGCGACGTCGCGCGAAAGGGCGCGAGACACGGCAGAGCAGGCTAGCACACCTTGACATTATCTGTGCGCATGAGCTACATGCCAGGTGGACGGTGCTTGAGCAGGTAAAGCGTCCGACCAAACGGCTGCAGACAGCATTCGCAGTCGGTCGTACCACTCCGTGGGACGCTCGCCCGGGGTGGGGGGGGGGGGGTGGCTAGATTACAGCCAGCGTTGAGACTTTCATTCGGCTGCTGCCCGGAAAGGTATGAATTCTTGCGTGGAGAATGCTGCGAACCAAGCTGACGTATACTACACAAATGCGAGGCAGATCCGTGTACAGAGCTACTGCAAGACTACGACGGTATCACTAGATAGGAATTGTGTGAGGGACGATAGGTTGTAGGGAGTAGCGATGTACGACAAAGTATGTACGATTAGTCCGCAGGGAGGCGATGGGGAACTACTGCAGCGCGCCCACACAAGTCATAGAACGCCTGACAGTAAAACGACACCACGTCGTGCTCGACCTCCAGTATGAGGTTCGGGTGGTCCTCGGGGCGCAGCGTACGCTGGAGAGACGACGCGTTCGGCCATTTCGCCAGGACACGGCGAAGGTGCTCGACGTACGCCGCGAGAACTCCGGACTGGAGAGAAGCCAGCCCTCCGTTGGACGCGGGGTATTGAGTGAGAACGAGTGAGCCATTCGGAAAGCATTTGGCGATCTCGGCGCGACGCTGCGTCCAGGCATACCGGCCTGTGGAAACCTGGCGGGTCAGTTTGAAGTCGACCGCAGCAAGTTCGAGGCGGAACGAGAGCTCGTACAGCTCCCACACCACCTTGCGTGCCAAGCTCGGTACGACCTCGCGGATGGGAGTCTTGACGGTGAACTCGAAGAATTGGAGCGTGGACGGCGTAGCGAAGTCGTCGGTGGGGAAGAAGCGACCAAACGCCTGCATCGCCTCTACACGATGCTTGGCTGACTTCGCCGCGGAGGTAGGAGTTGCCGCGGCGGCAGTTCGACGCTGTTCGTCCGTCATCACTAGGAGCGCATTCCAGATTGGCTTGCTGTACGGAACCAAGGCGTCGCTGTAAACAGCGTCCTGCATGTGCGCAAGCCACGCAGGACGGATGGTTAGCCACGTTTCCAAGAACCGCGCGAGACTGTTCGCAGTAGCGAACGTCGCCGGGTTAGGACAGTAGTGTCCGGACGGGAGACGGTCCTTAGACAGACGGGCAGGGTCGTTTTGGACCCGCTCGAGGGCCTTCGACCACTGCGTGATAGGAGGCGGTATGAGCGAGCTGTCGGCATCCACAAAGTGGTCGCGTCCCGCCTTCGGGGTCGGAGGAGTGTGGGTGGAACCTGTTAATCTGGTTAGGACAGAAACAGTAGGAAGGTAAACCCTACGTACCAGTCGGGGGAGGTGCCTTGTGGGCAGCCTTCGACTTCTTGGAAGGGCCGCGAGAGGACGAGGTCGCCGAATCGGGATTGAGAGGACGACGGAGGGAACCAGTGGACGCAGGGCCGGGATCAGGAATGCCAGCGCTGTAGACCCTCATGCCGAAGGTGTGGACGGCTGAGAGGTGCGCCAGGCCGGGCGGACCAACGTATTGCGTTGGGTATGGAGGATCGTATTCTAAGATCATGACACCGCGCTCCTGCGGTAGAGACGGCTCGACGACTTCCTGAATCTTGAGCTCGGGGACGAGCTGCGAATAGCGACGGATATACCAGACGGGAATCCCAGCGCGGTAGAGCCGAGACACAACTGCAGGGTCAGCGGAGATGGCTCCCATGAGACTTGAATCGGTCTGGTGGACCTTCGTGTCGACCATACGAGCGTTGAACGTGTTGACGAAATCCATGTACGCCGAGGCCTCGGCGTAGTAGCGTTGATACTCACGCATCTCCCACAGGAAGCGTTGTAAGGTGACGGGAATGCTGCGCATCCGTTCAACCGCCTCGGAAGCGGAGAGCGCGAAGTTCTTGAGGGCGGCATGGATGTTCTCTGGACCGCGGCGGTCGGATTTCGCCGCATCCTCTGCGAT